CGATATGTGAGTCCACACTGCTCGCGATGGAGCCTTCACCTTTGTGGCGAAGCGACGCACGAGCACAATCAGCGGCCTCATCAATCACTTCGGTGCAGTACAAGTAGAGAGACGAGAGACGAGAGACGAGAGACGAGAGACGAGAGACGAGAGACGAGAGACGAGAGACGAGAGACGAGAGACGAGAGACGAGTGACGAGAGACGAGAGACGGGGGGTGTTGGAGGGTGCGTTGCAGTGGCGGTCAACGCGCTTCTCCTTGTGTTCGTTCTGTTGCTCGTGTGTGATTTTTGCGCAACACAACAACACAAAGGCGAAGGCGAAGGCGAGAGCACCAAGCACCATCAAGCAAGCACAGAGCGCAGCCCACGAGCACGATGGCGGACGAGGCAGTGCAGAACTTGCCCATCGACATCCAGTTCAGCAAGCTGAGAGGTGGGAGTAGGTGGGAGGCGTGGCTGTGGTGCCAGAGCTCTTTGCTGTACCTCACTTTGCATACACACACACACGCACACACGAACTCACACGAACTCACACGCTCACATTCACACGCTCACACTCACACGCTCACGCTCACATTCACACGCTCACGCTCACATTCACACACGTACACACACTCACACATGCATACATGGGTTTGTGCAGACTGGTTGATTGATCGGCAATGGGTGAAGAAGGATTACTTCAAGGCAGCAGGAGCCATCCGAAGGCAGATCAACAGCAACTGGAACGCGCTGCCTGAGGAGGTGCGACAGGGCTTCGAAGCACCAGAGCAGCTCACTTACTACGACTGCCAAACCGTCATTGACCGACTCAAGGTTTGTTTGTGTGCGTGACTGTGTGTGTCTGTCTGTCTGTCTGTCTGTCTGTCTGTCTGTCTGTCTGTCTGTCTGTCTGTCTGTCTGTCTGTCTGTCTGTCTGTCTGTCTGTTTCTGTCTCTCTACCCCCAACACACACACGCGCGCATACACTCGCACACAGGAGACGGAACATGGGGCCAAGAACATGCTGGGCCAGTACACATCGCCAATCATGAAGACGTGGGCGTCCATCCTGGCAGACTTTGAGCAGGATTACGTGTTCCTCGGCGACTCTGCCGCTATTCTGGCGCACGAGTGAGTGGGCGAGCAACAACGGTGTGGCAGTGGTGTGGCGAGGTGGTAGAAGCGTGCCGGTTGTGTTCATTCTCCTCCTTGTTCTCTGCTGACTTGCTGGTGGTGCCACCAGTGTCCTGCCTCCCTCCGACACGCATGCGTCTATGTCTCTCACCATGTCGCACACTGTGTTCGTTTGCAGTGTCAACTTTGAGATCCCCGCTGCACGCAAGGCCAAAGACCGCGCATTCAAGAGGCTACAGGTGTGTGTGTGTGTGTGTGTGTGTGTGTGTGTTTGTGTTTATTTGTGTGTGTGTGTGTGTTCACGTCTATGTGCCCTCTACCCAACGCTGATGAGTTGCGTGGCTGCTCCCACCCCAACTCTCTCCCCGCCTTCTCGTCATTGGTTACAGGATCTGAACACAAAGGAGACAGAGTTCAAGAACGCGTCAGAGACAAACAGGAAGCGCTTCGTGGCAGCATGCAAGGACCTGGGATTCGAGGTGCCCATACATGTGCCTGTGTGTGTCTGTGTTGTGTGTGTGTGTGTGTCTGTGCCTGTGTGTCTGTGTCTGTGTGTCTGTGTGTCTGTGTGTCTGTGTTGTGTGTGTGTGTGTGTGTGTGTGTTGTGTGTGTCTGTGTGTGGTGTGCGTGTGTGTGCTTGCGACAATGAGACTTGGTTCAGATACGGCCATGTTCAATCCTTGCGAACTCACCCTTAACACACACGCACGCACGCACGCACGAAATCAGGCTGTTGATGCCATTGGTCTGGAAGGGAAGATCCAGGGTGTGCAGCACAAGCTTGAGCCTGTCTTTGATGCAATTGTGGCCGAGATCAAAGCAGACGCATTCCAATCCGCAACCGACTTTTACAACAAGTTCATGGCGTTCACTCTCGGTATGTGGGTGTCTGTATGTGTGTGTGCATATGCGTGCATGTGTGTATGACTCTCTGTGTGGTTTGGGGGAACAAGACACAGGTGTCTTGTAATTCACATTTAGCTGCCTCACATGGACGCCAGTGGAAGGTTGCATCCGTTCACACACACACACACACACACACACACTCTCTCTCTCTCTCTCTCTCTCTCTCTCTCTCTCTCTCTCTCTCTCTCTCTCTCTCTCTCTCTCTCTCTCTCTCTCTCTCTCTCTCTCTCTCTCTCTCTCTCTCTCTCTCTCTCTCTCTCTCTCTCTGCTAAACCCCCAGTATATCTGTATTTGATAGCCCGCCTGGATGGGTGTGTGCGGAGCGGAGAGTGAATTTGAGAGCTAAGTGTGATACGGCAGTAATAATTGTGGCTGGTACCTTCGTGACTCATCAGCACCGATCGGTACTCGGCTAACCGAGGTTGGATTCCAAGGGCGTATCGAATCCATGGCCCTTCGTTATTGCGATCAGTTTTGACGTTAAACTAGGTCGGCATTAGACATATTGTAAGTAGTCGTTAGCGAGGTCTCCAGCTCTCTCTCTCTCTCTCTCTCTCTCTCTCTCTCTCGCGCGCGCGCACACACACACACACCCTGTCTCTTTTCTTTTTCTCATGCAGGGGAGGAGCCATCCGATATGCTGCCGCTGCTGACATACATCGCTGAGCACGGCAACACGGCCGTTCACACTTTCAAGACGGTACGCAGTAGTGGTGCACTTCATCAAGTTTGTTGGCTTGCATGCACTCAATACGTGGTCATGTGACCGTCTGAAATTCTTTCTCGTGTCTTTCACAGTCACACGCCCTTGCCACGCACACTCTGTCTTGTGGTTGCACACACACACACACACACACACACACACACACACACACACACACACACACACACACACACACACACACACACACACACACACACACACACACTATCCACGTGCCAATAGGGGGAGGCTGTTGAGGTCGACAACGGATATGCGCACACGGCTGTCGATGTGGTTGGCGCATCCTCCAGCGAGCCTGTCATTGACTTTGGCGACGAGCCAGAGCCGACCATCGACTTTGGTGACAGCGGGCCTGACCCCGTCATTGACTTTGGCGACACGCCAATCCCCACCATCGACTTTGGGGACACACCGGCACCCACCATCGACTTTGGTGATGGTGATGGTGATGGTGATGGTGCGCCCACGATCGACTTTGGTGAGGATGAGCAGCCCACGATTGACTTTGGTGAGCAGGGTGCAGAGCCCGTGATCGACTTTGGTGATGACGCAGGCATTGGCATTGTTGTCGAAGGCAGTGGGGCTGGCGACGGCGACGGCGATGGCGATGGCGATGGTGGCGTGAAGGTGCGGGAGTCACTGCTGCACCACCGCAGCACGCGGTTGGCGGTCGTGGACGAGCTGGAGGAGCTCATGATGTTCTTCACCCGCAGGAGCGACGAACTCGGCGGTACGATGAGGCGGGCGGGCGGTCGGGGAGGGGTGGGGGGTTATAGTGGTGTTTTGGCGCTTCTGTGGGCGTGTGTGTGTGTGTGTGTGTGTGTGTGTGTGTGTGTGTGTGTGCATGTGTCTGTGTCTGTGTGTGTGTGTGTGTATGTGTGTGTGTATGTGTGTGTATGTGTGTGCATGTGTGTGTACGGGGTGTTTGCTGTGTTTTGCGTGTGTGGCTTGAGGTGTCATGCTGTACGCCCACTTGCATCATGTCACTTTGATGTTCTCCGCGGATACTATGAACCGATCTTACCACCCCGCCACCATCGTTCCCCTCCCCTTCCTCTCCACTGGTATCCACGCCCTGCCGCTGTTTCGTCTCGTGCAGGCGACCTCGAAATGGCTGCAATTGGCCTCTTCGATTCTGCACACAAATCCGTCCAGAACCAGGTGTGCACCATCGCGTGGCCATGCGTGACAGCATTCTCTCCGCATATCCGTGTTTGTCCGTGTGTCTGTGTCTGTCTGTCTGTCTGTGTCTGTGTCTGTGTCTGTGTCCGTGTGTCTGTGCCTGTGTCTGTGTCTGTGTTGCTCGGCCTCACACCTTCACGTGCTCGTCCGCACATGTGCACGCCACATTTCCCAACTGAAATCCCTCGCCCCACCACCACCCATTCGCACCTCACGCCTATGCATCCATGACATTCACCACTGGCGGTCTTCCATTGTCACAGTCCAAGGAGCAGATGGGCGCCTTCATGTCCGCTGTCACGCGCGTTCACACGCAGCTGACGGGCGAGCGGGTGCAACAGCTGCTCATGATCAAGTCCTCATCACGATATGTGCAGCGTCTTGCTGACGAATTGCGGCAGAAGCTTGAGCTCGCCGACCGCGCACTGCGAAAGACGGAGGACTTTGAGTACGATCATCCTCCTCGCCCACTTTGCACCTGCTTTGCGTGTTTGTTTGTTTGTTTGTCTGTGTGTGTTTCGTGTGCACGCTTTCTGTTTTTCGTGTGCACGCTTTCTGTTTTTCGTGTGCACGCTTTCTGTTTTTCGTGTGCATCCTTTGTCGTTGATGAAACACATTCACACACATGTCTCTCACGCACACACGAATTGCTACCTCATCCCTGCCGTCATCGCCTTAACGCATCGCCCTGTCCCCTCTCTGTCTGTATCTCTCCTCTCTCCGTTGTCTCGATCGCCAGTCGCCAGCGTGCCGAGTGTCGCACCATCGTCCACAACTCCAGCGAGCAGACAGACAAGTACAGGCAACGCATCCGCACCCTCAAGAAACACGTGAGTGTGCCTGTCGTGTTTGCGAGTCTGCGTGCTTGCGTTTCATTGTTGGGTTTGTTTCGTTGTGCGCATATGTTGTTTCCATCAACACGACGTGCGTGGACATGGTTGCGCGCCATGGCTTGGATGCATTTTGCTCACATGAAGTTTTGCACGCATCCTATGACGGCGTGCGGTGTGCAGGTGGAACAGAGCATCAGCAAACTCTACAGCAATCGCCCCGTGCACATTGTTGGCGATATCAACGCCATCTAGCCATACTGTGGGTGTGTGTGTGTGTGTGTGTGTGTTTGTGTGTTTGTGGGTGTGTTTGTGGGTGTGGGTGCGTGGGTGCGTGTGGCTTCATTCTTGCTTCATGCTTGCTTCGTGCTTGCTTCATACTTGCTTTATGCTTGCTTGCATGCATAGGGCACTCACTGCACGCACGTGCAAACGTGTGAACAGTTGGCTTGTTGTGTTTCCATTGCGACTGCTACGCACTTTCTCTGTGTAATTGTGATTGTCGCGCCATAGGAGAAGAGGCACACTTCTCAATGAAATGGAACGAGAGCGAAACCAAACCAACCGAACCCAGGCAATGGCGTTGGCGAAAGTAACAAACAAAGGCAGCTGAGAAGCAAGCAACAAGCAAGCAAACAGGCAAGCGAAGCACAATGAATAATGAACGACGAATCGAATACAGCTTGAGCGAGGTGTAATGTAATGTAATGCGATGTCAAGTGAGCGAGATGAAACCAGCACTTGCACCGAAACAACACATGAATCCACTACGTGTCTGGAGGATCGTGCCAGCATGGCGGCACGACTGTGAACTGAACCGGCGAACACATCGACCGAGCGAAGCGAAAAGAGAAAAAAGGGATCAGGAAGAGACAAGACGCTAAGACGAGCTGCTTGACATGATAATGAGTAAAACTCAACACATAACGCGTGAACCAGAATGCACTACGCAAGACACATGTGTTGGTATGAGGGAGGGAGGCATGTTGCTCGTGTTGGATTGGGGTTGGGGGATCCCTGCACCGAGGCCAGAACCGGCACCAGGAACGGGCAGAGACGAGCACGACCACGACACACAACTGATCCTGTCACACACACACACACACACACACACACACACACACACACACACACACACACACACACACACACACACACACACACTCACTCACTCACTCACACACACACACACACTCACTCACTCACTCACACACACACACACATCAGTCGAGGTGGGGGCGCTTGAAGGGGTTCTCCTCGAACAGGGCTGCATCTGAGTCGGGGTCCAGGGCCCGGAGAACGCGCAGGTGTTCTTGGAGTGCGCAATATTTGGCCGCATAATCACACTCGGCCAGAGTCGTGGTGTCAACTTCTGTGACAGCAACGCCATTGCGTTTTAGGCGGTCCGTGCACATCTTGATGTCTGCACGAAGTAGGTTGAGGCTGAGGAGCTGCGCACTTGTGGGCAGCTGTGGCGATGAATGCTCAGGAAACGGTGGTACTGTGGTGGAAGCGCTATCCGCGCACACGAGAGATGGGTGGGTTGTGGTTAGAAGCAGGTGGGTGTGCGTGGGCACTTGAGCCTGCTGCTTTGCCTGATGCGAGGCGGGTGGTGGGGAAATTGGAGAGTCGGAAGTGTGTCCCTCGAGATAGTCCGTCACGGTGTCCCTCATGAACAGTGGATAGTGAAGCAGCCCAGAAAAGCCGTTGTGGTTGGCTGTGGGCGTCGTCGGCGCTGTCGTCACCGTCGTTGGGTCAACAGCTGATGTGTCAGTGTCATCGTCAGCAAGGTCTTCGAGAAGACTGGCTTCAAGCTGTTCTGTATCCGTGGCCTCGCTGTTGTGGTGATGGCACTCGCCACCACTGTCAGCGTCACCATCGCAGTGAGCGTCAGTGTCACCATCGTCATCATCCTCATCGTCACCATCACCATCATCATCACCTTCACCATCATCGTCGCCATCAGCGTCAGCGTCATCGTCATCATCACCACCAGCATCGCCGTGACTGATGCTGCCTGCATGCTGCGCCAGTAAGTCGGGGTCAACAATACCAAGAAGCTCGCGTGCATGTCGCAGAAACACAATGGCCTTCTCTGTCGGAAATATGAGGAGACCAGTGATAGCGCGGCGAGCACACTCGATGGTGAAACTCTCATTGGCACAGAAGGCCCCCACCTCTTCGCCGGCGGCTGTCGCCCTCTCCAGCCTCAGCTGAAGGCGCTGCATATAGTCAATGAAGCGCTTGTGTGTGTGGTGATGGCAAAGGCAGAGCTTGGCGGAGCTGACTGCGGCGCTGTTGGGGTCGTTGAGGCGAAATGGCGTGTCCTTGCCATCGATGATCAGCTTCAAGTCCAATGGATCTTTGGAGATGGTGACGTCGCCCGCACAAGTCAGCTTGACGGCGATACTGGCTGAATTGGTGTTGGCGCGCGCCCTGCGCCCCCGGCGCCGTGTCTGTGATGACACCGTGTGGTCATGGTGCCCCTGCAAGATGGGAGTGTCGTCTTGAAAGAAGGCCAGCCAGACATCGTTGGCCCGGCTGAGCTCGGTGTTCAGCGGCAGCTCCACGGTTGCGGTGGCGGAGCGCAGCGCACCCTGGCGTTGCGTGTACACGGAGGTGACATTGACCAGTGGCGTGTTGCTTGCCATGTTGCCAAATCTGTCGGGGGGGGGGAAGGGAAGGGAGATAACGGGGTGTGCGTGCGTGCGTGCGTGCTGAGCGCGACGGTGCGTGTTGTTGGGAGATCTGCTGGTGGGGCGAAGAGATGATGGAAGGCGGAGGTGTGAGAGGAGACAGAAATGGTGAGATTGGATTGGGCGAGGGGAGATATGAAGGTGACGCAGTGGAAACGATGACAGGATGACAGAGACAGAATCAATCTGTGGCCAGTGGAAGAGGGGGGGGCAGGGGCACTGGAGAGTGGAAGCAAGCAGCAGACACACACATACACATGCAGACACACACGCAGACACGCACGAAGACACACACGGAGAAGACACACACACACACACGAAGTAGGTGTCAGCCACGACCTTATTCGTGGAAGGCACAGACCTTGTTTTTGTTTGTGCGCGTGTGCGTGTGTGCGTGCTCGAAGCAATGAGCAGACCACTGTCAGCAGCTTGCGGAACAACAACCTCACACGACGATGTCACCAGCCAGGCACGCTAAACCTTTGGCGTGCTTCTCTCTTCCTTTGTCTTCGTGTCTGTGGTTTGTTGGGTGGACAAGCTCATTGCACGCAAGCAAAACAAGCGCGTCGTCGACTTGCGTTTTCTCCTGTCGTTTGTGTGGCTGCGCTGACACACACAAAGCGACGGCCCCAAACAAAGGAAGTGTTTTGGAAGTGGCAGTGGCAATTGGACAGCACTTCCTGCAAGATTGCCCCCGACGAAAGACGCGGGTCTCAGGAAGATATACATAACTCTCTCAAATTTAATTTTAGTTGCAAATTGCATGTCACGGTACGCAAAGTGCAAACAGCCAATCAGGCGCGCTGTTTTGTGTGCCTGTTGTGAGGTGTGACTGCGTGTGTGTGCGCAGTGTTGTGAGGTGTGATCGATGGAAGAGACACAGGGGCAAGGGGAGGTGGAAGGAGGGGTGTAGGGGGAGGACAGAAGAAGCACGGTCATACAAAGACACACACTAAATAACACACAAGCACAAATGGCACACACACAAGCACAAATGGCATACACATAGACACGCACACACGACACACGCACGCATACGCACACACAAACTACTGGACGGCAAGCAAAATGGCAAGTCATCATCATCATCATCATCATTATCATCATCATTATTATCATCATCATCATCATCATCATCATCATCATCATCATCATCATCATCATCAGCAGCAGCAGCAGCAGCAGCAGCAGCAGCAGCAGCAGCAGCAGTCATCATCGTCGTCGCCCGCCTACGCGAAGAGCAAGCTCCAGCATCACGAGGTCAAAGGCGGATGTGCTTCGGCCCATGGTGTGTTGGCGCTGAGCAGGGTCCCACCAGGTGAGGCGATCACGCACGCGGGCAATGTAGGCAGACCGGTGCGCGTACATGGTGCGTGCGTCCATCTCCAGGTGCGCCTTGATGTGCGCTGCGTCGGCCTCTGCAATAAACACGGCCAGCAGCGCCCAGTCAACATACTTCGCCAGCGGCGGGTCGTAGTGGTCGGCAATGAACACGGGAACACAGCCGGCCCAGATGGCATCCATCAGGCGCGGGCTCCACGCGCGGTGGCCGCGGGGAAGCAGACAGTACTTGGTGTGCAGCAATTGGTCAATGTACGCACCGGGAGACAGATAGCCGTCCACCACAACAACATCGCGTTCGTTCACCAGTGTATCATACAACAGTGGTCGCACCCTGCCGCGCTGCATGTTCCCTGCCACAAATGCCAGCATGTCTCGCGGCAGCGTTGTTCCACCTGCCGCTGTTTCAATGCCATCGGAATCTTCCCTTCCCTGCTGCTGCTGTTGTTGTTGTTGTTGTTGTTGTTGTTGTTGTTGTTGTTGTTGTTGTTGTTGTTGTTGTTGTTGTTGTTGTTGTTGTTGTTGTTGTTGTCTGTTGTTGTTGTTGTTGTTGTTGTTGTTGTTGTTGTTGTTGTTGTTGTTGTTGTTGTTGTTGTTGTTGTTGCTGCTGTTGTTGTTGTTGTTGCTGTTGTTGTTGTTGTTGCTGCTGCTGCTGCTGCGCGCGAGCAAGCCGCTGGAGAAGGTCATGCCCGCCCTGAATACACGTGGGACAGCCGTCGCCCACGTGTGGCGGCAGAGATATGTCCTTGTGCACCACATAGTCCGGCTCTGTCACGTCCGCCGTGTTCACCAACGCAATCATGTTGCGCGCGGACGGGAACATGCGCGCGGCAGCCGTGCGTGGCGCTGCCCCCATGTCGTGCCCGCACACGAAGAAGTGGTCGCGGCCCTGCGTCCTGTTCCAATATGGATAACGCTGCTGCACGTGCGCGAGCACAGCAGTGGCGTGCGCATCTGCTGCGCGCTGGCCGGCCTCGCGATCCCGCTGCGTGAAGCGCGCCTCTGCGCAGCTCACGCGCACAAAGAAGAGCTGTGCCTCCTCTGGACTGTCCGTCGAAAAAGTGGAGGCGCGCAGCATGCGCGTGAATGTTGCTTCCGCCGCGTACTTGTAGTCGCGTGTTGGTGGAAGCTGCAGTGATTCCGGGAGCGGGTACATGTACACGCGCAAGTGGCGCGAAAATAGTGCTCCCAGCACATCAGCGACAACATCCGTCTGCAGGGGCGCCTTGGTGTCGTCGCTCCCAGTGTCGCTGGCAGCAGAGACGTGCACTCGCTGTTCTGCCACTTGACGTTTGACGCACAGGTCCGCCGCACCGGCAACCCGCTTCGCGGTCGAGGTCTTGAGCCATCCATTTGTGTTGAAGCCTGCACAGTGCGGCGTGGCGTCGCACACGCGCTGCAACTCCTCCTTGGAGTGCTTGCGCACGTGTCCATAGTCACTGCCGTCTACATCAACGTTGGCAAAGCACTCGTAGTCGCTTGCAGCCGGCTCCACGCCCACAACCACTATGCGTTCCCCTGGTCCCGCTGCGCTTGCCGCGCCTGCTGATCGTGCTGCCCTTGCGTCAGTTCCAGTGCCGCGTTGCCGTTTGCTGCCGCCACTCACCCCTTGCTGGTCGCCTGCTCCCTCCTGCTCCCGCCTGCGAAACTGCGCGCCCGTGTGCTGGTGGTGCTGCCAACCACGATGCTGTCGTTGCTGTGGGTGGTGGTGGTGGTGGTGGTGGTCACCTTGTTCCCGCTCTGCTTGCTGTTCCAATTCCCCTAATTCCCATGGCGGGTGTCCGCCGTGTTGCTGCAGCTCTGCTGTCAACCACACCAGCACCAATAGCACGCTAGCCGCTGCAAGTCCACACCCCACGCGCACCACCACTGTCCTCATCCTACCACAACCACAACCGCTGCCGCCGCCGCCGCTCCAAGAACAACAACAGCAGCAGCATCCCCACTCCTCACCGCCACCACCGCCGCCACACAACTGGTGCTGCCTCAGCCGTCTTCTTCCCTTCATCGGCGGTGCGACTGAATTCAGTCACCACACCAAATTACGCGCACAACACAACACAAGAAGCCGGCACGTGGTTGCAGAGACACCATTTCACGTCCAGCCGTGTGAACGGTGCAGAGAGACAGAGGGGTCGACGACGATACAGAGGCAGAGAGAGGGGTGCAGCCCTTGAAGTGAGATACAGGCAAGGCCAGAGAAGAAGAAGAAGAAGAAGAAGACAACCGCAAGTGCTTGTGTACAGTTGTCGAAGAAAAAAAATGGCGACGACGAGAAACGAGGCAGGCGTGTTGGAGGAGGTGGAAGGCATGTTCGATGATGCGGAGGGAGACGACAGCCTGCCCATGGAGCTGGAGAGCAAGATGACAATGGCAACTGCGAGGGGTGAAGTGGCTGGAGATGGTGGTGAAGAGGGAACACAAAGTGCACCCGCTTCCGATGACGCCGTCACAGCGGAGGCGATTGAGGAGAGCATCGACTTTGCGGATAAGAGCCACCGCCGGCTGCGCGGCGCAGATGATGCTGGCTTGTACAACGAATCCGATGACGACGACATTGATGACGTGCACGGCGATCTCGAGGACGCCGCCAGCAGAGGAAGTGAGTTTGTGTGTTTGTTCGTGCGTTCGTTTGTGTGTTTGTTCGTGCGTTCGTTTGTGTGTGTGTGTGTGTGTGTGTGTGTGTGTGTGTGTGTGTGTGTGCGTTCGTTTGTGCGTTTGTTCGTTCGTTCGTTTGTTTGTTTGTGTATGTGTGTGTGACATGATGGTGTGGGAGTTGCTTCGCCCTTCCCCCGTTTGTCTTCACCCTCGGTCTTTCGCCCTTTCCTTGTCTGCCCCCTACCTTTCTTTCGTGCACGCCTCGTCTGCGTCTGTTCGTGTGGTTGGATTTGCGCTGTTTTGTCGTGTGGTTGGTGTGGTTGGAGTCGCCAACTGACGCCACTGCGCTATACAATTGATGCACTCGCTGCAGATCTGACCAAGATGTACCAGTCTTGGGGCCAGAACCCAAACTCGCAGCGTCGCCGGGGACAGCAAGGGGTACGCTGCATGTGACTGATTGCAATGAAACACTGCTATGTATTGCCAGTGTGGCCGTGGGGGAAGGAGGGAGGGAGGGCGGTGCTGCTGCATGGCGACCTCATCGTGTCGTGTCCCACTGAGCTCCTGCACACCTTATCGTAGACTCACACCATGAACAACTAATTGTAACACGCGGCGCTTTCGTTGTCATGGTCGGCATGCTGCTGTGATCACCACGAAGGCATCCGGCAAGGCTGGCCGCGTGAGTGTCGAGGCGTACACGGGCGCACGCCTGAAGGATTCTGCTGCCAATCGTGTGCTGAAGGCAAGCAAGAAAATCAACCTGAACCGTCTGCGGAACACAGACAGGGCGGATCGCGCCACCACCGAGCAGGTGTCGCACGCTGCGCTTTGCTTGCGCCCGTTTGGATTCATGTGTCAGTTCGTGTGTTCGGTGATGTGTGACGCCATGTGTGAGTTCATGTGTGTGAAATGACGTGCGGATTCATGTGCGTGCACATGCGCACACTCTTCCATGTGCTTGTGCATGCTGATGTACATGTATGTACGCGTTTGTGTGGCTTTATTTGTATTGCGTTGTCTTCTATTAATCTCGGACAACTTCATCAACGTGCTCACGACCGTCGTCTCGCGCGTCGGCACTACCCCCCTCCTCTCTCTCTCTCTCTCTGTCTCTCTCTCTGTCTGTCTCTGTCTGTCTGTCTCTCTGTCTCTCTGTCTCCTCCGCACTGCTCGCACCTCTGCAACAGGTGATGGACCGGCGCACACGCAAGATGCTCATGTCCCTGATCAACCGCGAAGTGCTTGATAACGTGCACGGCTGCATCAGCACCGGCAAGGAAGCGAATGTCTACTACGCCACATCGGAAGGTGTGTGTGTGTTGTATGTGTATGTGTGTGTTGTTGTATGTGTGTGTGTTGTATGTGTATGTATGTGTGTGTTGTATGTATATGTGTGTGCGTTTGCTTTTGTAATTGTGTGATTGTGTGATTGCGTGTGCACGTGTATGTGTGTGGTGTTTGCGCGTTTAGATTTGCATGGTGTCGGCGCAAGGGATATGAGTCGTTACGAAAACGCACAACTGACTGGGCTGTGTGCCCTGCGTGTGCGCATGCATGTGATGATGGATGGCCATTGCAGGCGGCGATGAGTACGCTGTTAAGATTTACAAAACATCAATCCTTGTCTTCAAGGTTTGTTGACGTCACGATAGTGGTGGTGGTGGTGGTGATGGAGATGATGCTGGTGGGCGTGTTCGTTGATTGTGTTTTTGTGTATGTCTGTGTGTGTGTGTGTGTGAGTGTGTGTGTGTGTGTGTGTGTGTGTTCGTGTGTGTGTGTGTGTGTGTGTGTGCAGTCCCAAATGCATTCGCCCACGCCTGTGCAGTCAAGCCACTCACATGCCGTGCTGTGATGTGTTTGTGTGCTCCACACAGGACCGCGACCAGTATGTGACGGGCGAGTTTCGTTTCCGTCACGGGTACAGCAAACACAACCCGCGCAAGATGGTCAAGGTGAGCCGGCACGTTGTGCTTGATCCAGCATACCTCGCCCTCCACAACACTCAATTGCATGCATGTCCTGCGTTTAATCAAGCAGTCACACACACACACACACACAAAACACACACAACCACTCACTCAATCATACACCATACGTGCTTCCGTGTGTCCGCTGCAGGTGTGGGCGGAGAAGGAGTTTCGAAACCTTGCTCGCCTCAATGCGGGCGGCGTGCCCAGCCCAAAGCCCATTGAGCTCAAGTCCCACCTCATCGTCATGCAGTTTTTCGGCTCTGAAGGTGGGCGGGGTGACAGCCAAATTGTACTTGTTGCGAACATGTGTGTGCGCGCGCCCGTGTGTGTGTCTGCGTGTTGCAACAAGCGTCAGTACAAGGGCTGTCTCAATACTGAACCACTGCCTCCAAAGCTAGACCCCGAGCTTCATACTTGCCATCGCTAACGTTACACACACACACACACACACACGCACACACACACACATGCACACCAGGGTGGCCGTCACCGCGCCTGAAGGATGCGGATGTGTCTGCAGCAAAGGCGAGCGAGCTGTACTTTGAGTGCGCGATGCTAATGCGTCGCATGTACATGACGTGCGGCCTCGTCCACGGCGATCTGAGCGAATACAACATCCTGTCAGTTGCACGTGCTTTGGTGGCTGTCGAGGAGGAAGAGGAGGAGGAGGCACAGGGTTGCTGTGGACGTGCTGGTTTGGTTTCGTGCATGGGTTGAGTGCGAAGTTGTGTGCGCGCGCGTGTGTGTGTGTTTGTGAGCGGTCCTTGCACCCAGATAGGGAATTACTCCCCATTCACACACATACATGCACGCACACATGCATGCACGCACGCGCACGTGTATCTCAGGTATCACGATGGTGGGCTCATCTTCATTGATGTGTCACAGTCTGTTGAGCACAACCATCCCCACTCAAAGGAATTTCTTCGCCGCGATATCAAGAACATCAACGGTGGGTTGGTTGATTGCTGTGTTGTGTGTGGTGTGTGTTGTGTGTGGTGTGTGTTGTGTGTTGTGTGTTGTGTGTTGTGTGTGTGAAATGCGTAAGCGTATTTGTTTTTGCCTGTTCGCTTGCGTGCCTGCCCAGTCCACCCTGAAGGATCTTATTTGCACCTCGTGGCGTGGTCGTGTGCTGCCTCCCTACTGTTCTCTGTTGTTGTCTTTGATCCACCTGACAGATTTCTTCAGCAGCAAGTTCAAGGTGGACACGATGACAAACAGGGACCTGTTTGAATTCATCACAGACCCGCTCATCACAGACGAGAACGTCGACGAGTGCTTGCAGGCAATCCGTTTCGCGTGAGTCGCACAAACATACATACACATGCACACACACACGCACACGCACCCACACACACATGCACACGCACCACACACACACACACACACACACACACACACACACACACACACACACACACACACACACACACACGCACACACACATGTGCACCTGCGGTGTGCCACTCGTGCTAAACTGACTGTCATGGCCTCATGCCTTCATTGCTTACAGGCTCCAAGAACGGCTCACCCTCGAACAAGACCCAGAAGCAGCCGCCCAATTGGAGGTGGGACTGGATGAATTGTGTGACCATCGCGGCTGTGATGGTCATACTCTGGCGCTGGCCCAGTTCCTGTGCTTCTTTGTTTTTTGCAGAGGTGCCGTTCATGAGCACTTCTCTTTGCACACACACACACACACACACACATACACACACACGCACACGCACGTACACACGCGCGCGCGCGCGCAAGCAAGCACATTGTGGATCACCCTCACGTGTGTTCACGCCCGCCTGTTCTCGCTTGTGTCGTCAGATTGAGGACTCTGTGTTCCAGCAGGTGTTCATCCCTGGCTCCCTCGACGAGATGCAAGCGCGCCACATCCGCAGCGCCATCGCAGGCCAAACAGACTTGGTCAGCACTTGCTGCCGCTGCTACTGTGGTTACTGCTGCTGCTGTCATCGTCGTGGTGTGATGTGGCGCGAACAGTTCCGTGTTGCACTCCGCTTGTTCGCTGTGTTTTCTTGCGTCACTCGCCCTTGCCTCCCCACACGTCAGCGTGCCGTCATTCCACCTTTCAACTCACAGCACCCCCCTCCCTTGTTTTTCTTCATGCACAACAGTTGCACTTCCAGGTGCTGACGGGCATGCGCGATGACTTGACCGGCGCGCGCACCGTTCCCGCTGTTCTGGAGCGATTGTATGCGCGACACAAGCCCGGCACCACCGCCACACAGGCTGATGGTGATGATGGTGATGATGGTGATGATGAGACACGTGCGCGGTATGAGGGCGGCGCCCATCATGACACGAAATACGATGAAGACCACCACCATGATGATGATGATGATGACGACGACTATGATGATGATGATGAGGGTCAGGCTGTGGGTGGCGGTGAGGTTGACACTGCACAAATGTTGATGCTGGACCCAGCGCTCCAGTCGCTTCTGCCGCAGCTGCCGACGGTCGCTGCCAATGCGCCGCTACGGACGAAGGACACGACAGGTGGCAGTGATGGTGATGACGTGCGGGCGACAAGTGGCAAGGGGAATGAGGGTGATGGCGATGATGACGATGATGAGGATGATGGCGACAGCGATGGCTCGTATGACGATGACGACGATGATGACGACGATGATGACGACGAGTGGGCGTTGCCTGGTCAGCTGCCCGACTTGAGTGGGATGACAAAGGCGGAGAGGAAGAAGGCTGTGAAGGAGTTTAACCGGGAGCGTCGTGCCAGCAAGACCCCGAAGCACATCAAGAAGAGGAAGAAGAAGCTTGCCAAGCGCCGCAAGGGCAAGAAGTGATGCATGGCAGCTCGTGCTCTTGTGGTTCCTGGCTTCGTTGTCGATGCACGCTTTCGTACATGTCCATGTTTATGGTGTGCTGTTACTGTGAGTCTGTGATGCGAGTGGTGTGCTCTGCTGTTTTGCGTCCCGTGTTTGTCTTGCGGCTTCTGCCTTGCAATATGGGCGTCAGCATAAAACATCAAACAGTGAGGGGCAAAGTGCATTGTTGATGAGGGAAACATCGACACCCCCAAATGGTAGCCACAGCGGCCAGGAACAGGCAGTCTGTTCTGCTGTGACGTCAGACCTAAAGACGATTTCATAACTCAAGCAAGTATGCAGTGTTGTTGTCATAACTTTCGTTCATATGGGCTGTTCCCCGAAAACCCTCAAGCGATCCGATGGCTTGTGCGTTATCAGAAGATCAAATGTGTTTGCTTCATCTCGAACGCTTGCGTTCAAGACGTCCTTGGGTCAACGCGTGGACGGCTCCAAACGTGGTGGCATTGCACAGCCGCCTCTTTGATCGCTTTTTTTTTTCTGTTATTGTTCAGCTTCACGCTTGTCGGCTCGGGGATGATGCGTTCGCGTGTATTGTCTACTACAGAAGATAAGCGTGCGTTGTTGTTGTTGTTGTTGTTGTTGTTGTTGTTGTTGTTGTTGTTGTTGTTGTTGTTGATGATGATGTTGTTGTTGTTCTTCTTCTTCTTGATGTTGACTAAAAGTAAGAGAGAGGGCAAGTGGGGAGTGGCCTGCACCCCTCGCTGCAGAGAGAAAGACAAGAAAACGAAACATGGCACAACGCACAGAAGCACATGCAAACGGCAACAACATGGTTCCGTGAGCCAACAGCTGTTGCTCGCATGCCCCTGTGCCGGTCGCGTGTATGCGCCTTATTTGCCCTGTGGTGGGAACGTTGTGATCGTGTGGTGCAGCCAGGCAAGTGCAACACGTGAGCACTGAAACGGCACCGAAGCAATGCAGCAAGCAATAAAAGGAGGGAAGGAAGGAAGGAAGGAAGGAAGGAAGGAAGGAAGCAATAAAAGGAGGCAATGAAGGAAGGAAGGAAGGAAGGAAGAAAGGAAGGAAGGAAGAAAGGAAGGAAGGAAGCAATAAAAGGAGGCAATAAAAGGAGGTAATGAAGGAAGGAAGGAAGGAAAGAAGGAAGGAAGGAAGGAAGCAATAAAAGGAGGCAATGAAGGAAGGAAGGAAGCAATAAAAGGAGGCAATGAAGGAAGAAAGGAAGCAATAAAAGGAGGCAATGAAGGAAGAAAGGAAGCAATAAAAGGAGGCAATGAAGGAAGAAAGGAAGCAATAAAAGGAGGCAATGAA